CACTCACGAAGACACAAGGCTTTGATAGTATGCTTTTGTTCTGCAGCAATTGCAGCATGTGACCTGCATAACAATGCATGTTCAGAAATTAGCATATTATGAATGTGTAGTGAGAGATAGTGCTCTTTGCTCACCCCGCCACCGTTTAACGACTATCCCACTCATTACCTTATTCTCAACAAAGAGAAGCACTCCGTATTTTGAACTTTTGTAGCAAGCGAGGCAATCCATCAGGCTCCGCCAAGCACTGGGGCGTACTCGCTTTTACAAAGTTAAGCGCAGAGACAGGTTTATCATCTCTCATTCCTGCCCCATTCGTTTTGGTGTGATTCGTGCTGAGAACAGCTCGAATCGACTAATACAAAGGCGCAAGCAAATGTAATACAAGCCTTTTCCTTCTTATGCAGTTTTGCATATATACAAATGCGAAAACGCATATTGCGACGACCCCCGATGTATGTGTGCGTCTGTCCAGGTATTTAAACTCGGCATTGAAGCAAGGTCCGACGCCAAAATTTTGTCAAGGGGGTCGTGAGACGTTATCCATGACAGTACCTGCTTTCACGCTCCAATCTTCAAATTTAAATTGGTAAAAAACATTTTTGTACTGCACAGACAAACACATGCGCTTTCACATAGACACACATAGATATATACACGCGCACAAGTGCAAACGCGCACGTACTCACGAACACACAAGGCTTTGATAGCATGCTTTTGTTTTGCAGCAATTGCAAAATGTGACCTGCATAAAAATGCATGTTCAGAAATTAGCATATTATGAATGTGTAGTGAGAGATAGTGCTCTTTGCTTGCCTCGCCACCGTTTAACGACTATTCCACTCATTATCTTATTCTCAACAAAGAGAAACACTCCGTATTTTAGGTTTTTGGAGCAAGCGAGCCAATCCATCAGGCTTCCCTAAGCAGTGGGGCATACTTGCTCTAACAAAGTTAGGTGCAGGGACAGCTTTATCAAGTTCAAATTCCTGTCCCACTAGTTTTGGTGTGATTCGTGCTGAGAAGAACAGCTCGAATCAACTAATACGAAGACGTGAGTAAATGAATACCGGTCCATTATTTCCTTTTTATGCATTTTTGCATATATGCAAATGCGAAAAAATGCATATGCATACGCAAAAAATGCAAATGCGTATATCTGCCCGGGTATTTGAACTCAGCATTCAAGCAAGGTCCGGCGCCAAAATTTTGTCGATGGGCTCCCTGACCAAGTGCCACCCCATGACTTCGGTGCCGACCTTCACACAGGTCTGGGCCCCGCGTACGAGAAGGTGAAAGCTTTGACGGGAATGTCGCCAACTCAGGAACCAGAAAAGCTAGAAGGCTGGAATTTTGAGGTTATGCTCCCTGTCCACATGGAACTCAAAGATTTCAAATTCAGCACCCAGGTATGCGTGGTATCCGCATATGGCCCCGTGAGGGTTCCTGGCGTGAAAATCGCTAACATGGGAACCAGTAAAACTGGGAGGCTATTTTCATGGAATGTTCCCAGCACATTTACAACATAAAGTCATCGAACTCTGGCCCCATGCATGCATGCTCCTATGTACGGCCCCGTGAAGTGTTTTGGCGGGAAAATGACTAGCTCGACGAACCTGGAAAGCTTTTCCCAGCACATCTACAACTTAAATTTATCGAATTCAGCCCTTCGGTGTGGGTGGTTCTCACGTACGGCCCCATGGAAATTTTTGGCGGGAAAATGACTAATTCGGGAACCGGGAAAGCAGGAGGATGAAACTTTTGCTTAGAAATACGATTCAAAATACATTTTTGTACTGCACAGACAAACACATGCGCTTTCACATAGACACACATAGATATATACACGCACACACAAACGTGCATACGCGCGCGTACTCTGATAGCATGCTTTTGTTTTGCAGCAATTGCAACATGTGACCTGCATAAAATGCATGTTCAGAAATTAGCATATTACGAATGTGTAGTGAGAAATAGTGCTCTTTGCTTGCCTCGCCACCGTTTAACGACTATTCCACTCATTATCTTATTCTCAACAAAGAGAAACACTCCGTATTTTAGGTTTTTGAAGTAAGGGAGCCAATCCATCAGGCTCCCCTAAGCAGTGGGGCATACTTGCTCTAACAAAGTTAGGTGCAGGGACAGCTTTATCAAGTTCAAATTCCTGTCCCACTAGTTTTGGTGTGATTCGTGCTGAGAAGAACAGCTCGATTCTACTAATACGAAAATTTGAGTAAATGAGTACCGGTCCATTATTTCCTTTTTATGCGTTTTTGCATATATGCAAATGCAAAAGCGCATATTGCGACGACCCCGGTGTATGTGTGTGTCTGTCCGGGTATTTGAACTCAGCGCTGAAGCAAGGTCCAGCGCCAAAATTTTGTCGGTGGGTTCCCAGGCTAAGTACCGCGGTGTCGACCTTCACACAAGTCTAGGCAACGCGTACGAGAGTGTGAAATTTTGGCGGGAAAATCGCCAACTCAGGAACCAGAAAAATTAGAAAGCTGAAGTTTTGGGGTTATGCTCCCTGTCCACGTGAAATTCAAAGATTTCAAATTCAGCACCCAGGTGTGCGTGGTACCCGTGTATGGCCCCGTGAGGGTTCCTGGTGCGGAAGTCGCTAACATGGGAACCAGGAAAACTGGGAGGCTGAAATTTTCAGGGAATATTCCCAGCACATGTGCGACTTATTTATCGAATTCAGCTCTTCGGTGTGCGTGATTCTCATGTACGACCCCATGGAAATTTTTGGCAGGAAAATGACTAATTCGGGGACCAGGAAAGCAGGGAGGCTGAAATTTTCAGAGAATGTCCCCTGTCCAAGTAGAGCATAGACAATTAACTTCCTGAAATTCGAGGACCAGTATGTCACACATTTCTAGCGACTGGGTTTCCGAGGGATCTCATTACAGCACGAAACACTGCAAAAACGCAAGGTTGCACGAGTCCGCCCGGTGCGCGTCGCAGTGATTTACGAGACTTTCTAGAATCGACACAAGTTTCAGCGGATTTTTAAAAAATTGATTCTTTTGTAAATAAAATATCTGCTCCTGCATTCTTTATCACTTGCAAATGTGTTGCAGTGATTAATCTCCGAAGCAATCCTGATGTCGACCAGAGGGAATTGTTTTGTTAAGTGCGAACAACTGGTTCGACACTTTTCACTTCAGCTGGTCTACTTGATGGGCACTGGCAAGTGATGCCTCCCTGTTGCTGCTGCTGCTTATTTCCGAGTAGCGAAAAATAAAAAGCTGTTTGTAAGTGTAAATTAGTGAAA